TTTCCTCCAGGAAATTGATGGGGAACCCAGTAACACAAATTTTGATGAGTTCTTCCAAGACGGAGATGATTCTTGAGCGAGGAGAGAGATCATACTTCAAAGCCAGTCAGCCAGACTTCTTCCACTAATTAAGAGTTTAATTTATTTAAACTATATTTTGTGTCGCTTTCATAAATTCATTAGTTGAAGGATGCAGCCGTAACCTGTGCTATGCCTCAGTCTTTGCAGAGTTTTATAAAATGTAATCCATTTTTTTTAGAAGTGTGTATTTATTTTTGCAGTAAAAATATGGAAATGGCAAATGTGGTGTTTTAATTTTGTTTTAAAAAAAAAAATCAGTTATTACATGTCATAACCCAGTTGCATAAAAGTCTTAGAAGGACATTGACAGAGACAAGCGAAATAGTATTCGTGAGTTATTCAATAGTGGACAGTTAAACTTGGATATTTGCCCCCAATCATGAATATTAGTTGTTAAAACCTAATGTACTTCCTACATTGTCTTGGTAGGCAGGTCGCTAGGTTTTGACTGCCGTGACAAAAAAAAATGGTGTGGACAGTTTTTTAAATCGCACATGTAACATGTTTAGACTACTTAAAAGAAGTGATTTAAAATCATATAAAAAACTTTTTATGGGGGGAGCAGAACTGAGAACTGGTGTCCTTCGGCGCCCCCCAGTGGTTATAGCCGGATATTGTGCTGGAAACTTCCTGTATCGGTGTTGGGTGGGACAGCGGAAGCGGCGGACCGCAGCGCTGACATTCATTTTTACCTGCTAGATTTGGGACATATTGTACCAAAATGCCGGTAAGAAATCATTAAACATAACGATTAACGCAATTGTTTGCGTTATGGGCAGTTTGTTGTGCCACGTTTTAGAGCAGCGGCGAAGTAGAAAAATATTTTATCGTGATTAGCCATAGAGCTAACCTATACATCATATTACTCTGGCCATTTTTCTACAAATGTAGCAGTTTTACAAATACATATTTTATTATATTTTTGATTTTCATATATTATAATCAAATATGTATAGGTAAGTGTCAGAAATATGTTGTTAGAAACAGAATTTGTGCGTCTGTCCATGATGCAAACAACTGGATTTCCTCATTTACATTCAGCTCAGTGATCGCTGGTTTTCTTTAAACATTGGTCGTCTTTAAAACAAATTTGCTATATGAAAGAAATCTTACTAAATAACTTGCATTTTTTTGTAATTTTCCACTCTCTTCAGGCTTACCACTCAAACCTGACAGATGCAGACACCAAACTGGTGGGGAATATGGCATTACTGCCCCTCAAAACACAGTTTAAGGGTCCTGCTCCTAAAGAAAGTAAGAAATATTGCTTGATTTTAGGCAGTACTCTGAGATCAGAGTTGTGTCTGGTTCTTCCTTAAATGGCGATCTTTAGACAAGGGTATTTTTACATCATCTCTTCCTTCCTGTTTCCATATTCAGCAAAAGACACAGATATTATCGATGAGGCCATCTACTACTTCAAAGCCAATGTTTTCTTCAAGAACTATGAAATTAAGGTAAGACGGATGACCGTACAGCAGGCTGGCTGTGCAGGAGCCTGAAAAATGCACTAATTTCTACATTTTTCATCTAATATCTAATTTCAGCCTCATTTCAATTGACAGTCAATTAATATTTTCAGTTTCAATAGTTCCACAATAACAACACAATAACTTGGTGTGTAGTGAGTTCATAATTTATTTATCTGAACTTATTAATGAGCATAAATGATTGCTGCAGAAAGAAATTACATTCCTTCATATTTAGTGCTCAAAAATCAATATTCTGCCAAGCACCACACAAACTGGAGAAAAGTGTTTCACACCAGTAACACACCACTGAATCAAATCAAAACATGACCAAGACCAACTGAAAATGCACAACTTATTGCTTAAAATTCAGTCTTTTGAACAATAAAAATACATTTGCATTAGTACACAACACCAAACAAACCTCACTCAGACAAGATCCTAAAAGATGTATCATCAAGAATCGTATGCACCTTTAGAAGATATTGAGGTAACTGCAATTTACATGACTGACGAGACACCAACAGGACAAAGGCAAGACTAAAAGAGAATAAAACATAAGGACAAACACTAGATATGTAAGACAAATGCTACATTTTAATGAGCAATTACATGATAGGACCTTCAGGGAACAGAAAAGTGAACAGGATACAGTCATAAATGAGATTACAAAACTACATGTGGTGGAGGGGGGACATCACAAACAAATGACTGATAGAGCTATGGTACATCATATTTACATACACAAAAAATACAGCTTTTTGAGCTTACCGTTTATACAAAAAAATATTCTCTGTCTCTCATGCAAATATCTAACTTTTTGGTTTGTCCAAAAGAGGATTCCAGCTCAAAAACTGACTAGACATTGAGACGGACTTGACATCACTGAATACAATTTTCCTTTCCGATAGGAGAACAACTTAAGGCAGCAGAGAAAGAGATGGCCCTTTGAGAGACATCTGCGGTATTGTTTTGTTGTTGTTTTTTAAGGGAATAGGGCTGTCCGACAGTGAGAAGGGAAATCAGCATCGATTCTGACCATCAGCCTCTACTAGTACCATAAACGCACAAAACACCCCAAAATTGCATAAAAGACTGTTCAAAATTGATGGCTCAGTGGCAGATAAAAAAAAAAAAAAAAAAAAAAAAACAATGGAGGGTAATTGGTATTAACGAAACGTGCTATAACTCACACATTCAGATAAAAAAAAATAATATTTATATATATTATTCTACGGTGGCTTTGCTCTGATATCCCTAAATGGTGCAAACCCAAATAACTGGTTACTAAAATATAGGTGATCGCCTATTAATGTTGACATATCCAGGGGGCTGGTTAGAATTCAATTTACGTGATGAAGCTTTGCCACACATAAATGTAATTCAACACATAGTTAAACCTATTCAATTGATATGAGCTTGTCATGGGCTTTAAAATCAATGCCGAAATAAATCCTGAAATTGAAACTTCTGTTTTTGACCTCAAGATATGGAGATGGGAACTGATATGTACTAAACAAATGTAACGGTGATGGAGCGTCTAGTCAAATGCCATTTCTTGGCTCTTCCTCACGCAGCGGGCAACTTTCCGCTTGAACTCACCGTTGGGATCCTCTCGCCATTCTTTCTGCAAGCCGAACACAAATGAGAGAGTTTCAGTCATTGCTTCGGAAGGACAAAAACATGAATTGGCATTTCATTTAAATAAAGTGACATTTTGGAGTGAAATTAGAAAAAAATACAAATAAAATGCATTTGGGACTTGATTTTATTAATCAGCAATTGGATCTATGATGGTCATAACCGGCACTTTTTGAAGAGTTTTTCATCCAGGATGTGGATGCTTAAATGGTAATGCTTCTTTTTAAAATCATTCATTATTTACCATTAATGATGTAACCATTTTTTACAATAATAATGTATGTTATAGTAATGTATTGTCTATGTGCCAACATTTTAGAAAGGCTGCATTTCCTATATATATATATATATATATAAAATCTCATTACATTTAGTACATTTTGATGAAAGGATGAAGTCACTATGAAATATTCTTATTTTTATGGAATATTTCAGTATTTATTATAAATGACAAGGTTTCTGCATGTTTTATTTAAAACCAAGTCAAGTAAACTTAAGGAATAAACTGAAGGGAATGTAATTCATCACTACGTTCTCTAAATTTAAATGTCTAGGGAGCACACAATCAGTTGCATTAGCAACACTAAAAAAAAAAAAAAAAAAGCAAATCAAAACACAAGTGTCATGCAGTACATTTCATCATAATTAAGATAATAAATAATTAAGACACACTAGAGGGTAAGACACACTAGAGGGTGGAGGGTAATTGGTATTAACGAAACGTGCTATAACTCACACATTCAGATCAAAAAAAATAATATTTATATATATTATTCTACGGTGGCTTTGCTCTGATATCCCTAAATGGTGCAAACCCAAATAACTGGTTACTAAAATATAGGTGATCGCCTATTAATGTTGACATATCCAGGGGGCTGGTTAGAATTCAATTTACGTGATGAAGCTTTGCCACACATAAATGTAATTCAACACATAGTTAAACCTATTCAATTGATATGAGCTTGTCATGGGCTTTAAAATCAATGCCGAAATAAATCCTGAAATTGAAACTTCTGTTTTTGACCTCAAGATATGGAGATGGGAACTGATATGTACTAAACAAATGTAACGGTGATGGAGCGTCTAGTCAAATGCCATTTCTTGGCTCTTCCTCACGCAGCGGGCAACTTTCCGCTTGAACTCACCGTTGGGATCCTCTCGCCATTCTTTCTGCAAGCCGAACACAAATGAGAGAGTTTCAGTCATTGCTTCAGAAGGACAAAAACATGAATTGGCATTTCATTTAAATAAAGTGACATTTTGGAGTGAAATTAGAAAAAAATACAAATAAAATGCATTTGGGACTTGATTTTATTAATCAGGAATTGGATCTATGATGGTCATAACCGGCACTTTTTGAAGAGTTTTTCATCCAGGATGTGGATGCTTAAATGGTAATGCTTCTTTTTAAAATCATTCATTATTTACCATTAATGATGTAACCATTTTTTACAATAATAATGTATGTTATAGTAATGTATTGTCTATGTGCCAACATTTTAGAAAGGCTGCATTTCCTATATATATATATATATATATAAAATCTCATTACATTTAGTACATTTTGATGAAAGGATGAAGTCACTATGAAATATTCTTATTTTTATGGAATATTTCAGTATTTATTATAAATGACAAGGTTTCTGCATGTTTTATTTAAAACCAAGTCAAGTAAACTTAAGGAATAAACTGAAGGGAATGTAATTCATCACTACGTTCTCTAAATTTAAATGTCTAGGGAGCACACAATCAGTTGCATTAGCAACACTTCAAAGTTTAAAATTATAACCACCAACCAATCTCCACTACTTTTTAATTTGTTTTACAAAAAAAACTAAAAATACTCCCAACCCTTTAAAAGGAACACTCCACTATTTTTTAAAAAAGGCTCATTTTCCAACTCCCCTAGAGTTAAACAGTTGAGTTTTACCGTTTTCGAATCCATTCAGCCGATCTCCGGGTCTGGCGGTAGCACTTTTAGCTGTAGCTTAGCATAGATCATTGAATCTGATTAGACCATTAGCATCTCGCTCAAAAATGACCAAAGAGTTTCTATATTTTTCCTATTTAAAACTTGACTCTTCTGTAGTTACATCGTGTACTAAGACTGATGGAAAATGAAAAGTTGCGATTTTCTAGGCCGATATGGCTAGGAACTATATAATTATATAACTGATATTACGCAGCGCCTGAAAATAGTCCCCAGCACGCTCCCTGTGCAAGCAGGTGGTCACGTTGGTTATGTTGACGGAAGTTAGCCTATTTTCAGGCACTGAGGGGAGTTGGAAAATGAGCCTATTTTCAAAATAGTGGAGTGTTCCTTTAACCCTACTCCCTAAAATATGTAAATAATTTTTACTGTACCTTCTGATCACATCACAAAAACTTAATGTTAATTTTGATATCATGGTGACTTATTATAAAACATGATTCAATATATTATCACAAATCAGTAAACTTACAGCTGCGTCCACATTGGCTGGCGAGTCACCATTGGGATCAGCTAACATGGAGATCACGCTAATCATGATGGTCTCTACAGTGTGGATGGGCAGCCAACGCTCCTCAGGTTTCTCATAGCCAAATTTGTCCTCTCCTGGCTCATGTAGGATGGAAATGCACACATCTCCGTTCTTTGCGACTGGTTAGAGATGATGAATAATATCAGTGTCAGCCGCTATAAGGGACAGTGATTTCACCAACATGCACTCACCATTAGGATGCCAAATCTCTGTAATAAACTTCATCTTGGGGGGCCGAAGTGGGTAATCATGAGGGAAAATGAGATGTGCCTTAAAAAATCCACCTTCGCTGTAAATCAAAACCAGAAAAAGTGAGTAAATGGTTTGGTTAGAAGTGATCTGAGCATTGTAGAAGACTAGATTAGTCAACCGGCCAATCTTATAGCTAAACCCAAACACCACATGGCTGGTAACAGGATTGGTTACTTACAACAATGTGTCTTGAGGGCCGATCACGACAACCTCCCACTGATAGATATCATCATCATCAATCAGACCAGCAGAAAAACCTTCCACTGGGTTTTTGTTGAGCTCTGTAAGACATAAAAAAGGCACATTATTTCAATGTATCTTAAAGGGTCAGTTCACCCAAAAATTAAAATTAGCCCATAAATTACTCACCCTCAAGTCATTTGCAATTCGTGTCTGGCAATATTGGATATTATTTTACATTTTCTGCTAATGAGAGCTTAAAGTTAATCTAACACTAATTAACTAATACGTTTTACCTTGCAAAATCTCTTATTTTCATCATATACATTAATAATGTTGTGATCACTTGAGGCATTAAAAACGATTGAGGAATAAATATGTGTAAAGACCAAAGCTTGTTATGTACTAATATGCATGTAATTGTATCAAATAAGGTAAAAAACTAAACGAGATTCCTCATTTATGTTTCCTAATTTGTCTACTGCATACACGTGTCAACTGATACTATGACCAGTAAACTAAAAATAATGTTGAAAAAGTCGTTTTTTTTTTTTAAATAAAAGGTTTAAGCTTGATGATCAACATGTTTATACCTCACCAACTTATTAGGCGCTAGCATGCTAGCAAAGCCTTCTGATCTTATTATACTTTACAAGTGGAAATACGAAGCCCATAAGCTCTTACACAAACACTGACAGTGCGTTTCGTTACACGCTATGTGATTTTGTTAGTACAGATGGTATGGATAAAAATAATATAACATAATTTTGCACTACTCACGCTAACAGTTAGCCACCTAACGTACCTGCTAGCTGTTTTCGCAGAAGCAGGGCCGACTGCTCAGTCATTTTATTTCAACTAATGTTAACAAAATAAATAATGTCTCCAAACGAAAATGGGACGAAATAAAGTCAGAGAAATCAATGTTGGCAATCAAAGTTGTTCGACACGCAGCACTTCGGCAGTGTATTTGATATCTACTTCACATGCGCCGAGAAGCCATACATGTGATACTAGCACTGACCTCAAGGCTGTGTGTCACTTGGTAGCTGCCTACTACAGCAGTTTTGGGCATCTTTTTGGGCGCGTTCCGAGTGGATGGTTAAAAAATGCTGCACGCGCCCATGGCGACCAAATTTGCTGTCTATGTAGATGTCTCACTAGGTTTCGAAACACAGCCAAAGTAAAGGCGACCAAACAACCTTCTTCTTCTTCTTCTTTCAGGTTTAATGGCGGTTGGCAACTCATCTCAAAGGTGCATTACCGCCACCTACTAGACTGGAGTGTGGGCATTAGACTGACATCAAAGG